AAATTCGTTTTTCAAGCAGGGTTGACTCCGAGTTTCAGCTGCAAGTTTTGACAGTTTTATTGCTCATCCTTATGTTCTATGTTCTTCGCAAATGTGTCATTATATAGCTTACTCACTCAAGAATACTCCCACAAAATTGCATCCTTCTAGATGCCTTAGTTTTTGAGAAGTATCATTTTGAAGGTACGAATACGAAAAAACTTTTGGGATGACCTAATATACAGGGTGTCCCAAAAAGATGTGCACACTGTTTGCTCGTTAATAACTCTCTTGCTTTCATGTCTTTTGTCGAGCTTAAAGTACCATTCTATAGAGCGAGGTTCAACTTAGATTTGCAGAATGGAGCGAATCATCGATCGCTCTTCATTACTGTAGGATTACGGTGGGAACTTCGAAGAAGGTTTTCAGCCATTAAAGGGCGCAATTTGTTTCAGAAAGAAAGCTAAACAAGCCAGAAACTCTCAAACTGGGCTAATTGAAGGGGCTAATGCCAAATATGAAGTTTGCACTCTAGTATAGTGCTTCTTTTATAAGTTATTTCAGATTTAAATAAACTGTTTTCCCAATGTCCCTCAAAAATGTGAATATGCGAACAAGAAAGTTCGAAAAATTGATGAAAAGTTATGTACTGAAATCAGCACGCCTGAAAACCTTAATACACAGATTTTCAGATTTTTTTGAAATTATTTTATCACAAGGCCTATTTCACAGTGACGCTGTATGTTTGAAGTTCATACCGTAATCCTACAGTAATGAAAAGTGATTGGTGATTTGCTCCACACTACAAATCTAAGTTAAACCTCGCTCTACAGAACGGTGCCTCAAGCTCGGCAAAAGACTTGAAAGCAAGAGAGTTATTAACGATCAAACAGTGTGCACATCTTTTTGGGACACTCTGTATATGTGATTGCCATTTAAGAACAGCTTTGCGTAATCTATAAGAGGTCAGTAAAATTATTGTGTTAGGTTGCCCGGAAAGTAATGTCGCATCTTGTTTCAACATGCAGTATTGCAGCAGAGTGCGCAGGAAAGTGAGTAAGTGGGGAATCAACCGACAGATCAAAGCAAGCTCTACAAAATGAAGCTCGAACCTTTGCGCCAGGTTTGATTTGCGTGAAGTTCGGAGCCAAATTTCATAGGGCCTTAAAGATCTAAAAAATGGTAGAAATCGTATCTCCGTTCAGAATAGTCCTGGGAATCCCTAACTTGCTCACGCATGGACTCACTATAAGTGACATTCGTATGCACATTTTCGAGTTTTTTCCATGGCCAAAAATTGAGAAGACGAAATTCGGCATGTTTTTGCCAAAACAATTCTGAGCTTCTCTCACATGGGTGATTCTGTAGTATGAACCTTTCAACCATGAGTTTTCAGCTTTAGATAAGCGTTAGTTTTCGAGAAAAATCAAATTGTTTTCAGAAAACCCGAGAAACGCTACATATTCGCACTTTTGACCTGTTTTTATTTCTCGTACTGTAGCCATGGAAAAATACCACAAACTATACAGGTGATTGTCTAATGTAGAGAGTGCATGCCTGTGCAAATTGGAGATCCACGAGACGTCTACGGATGGAGATACGATTTTTTCGGATATCTAAAAAAATTTATATCTTGGATTCGAAATTTAGGTGAAGCGCGATTTCCGCGGAGGTTTGTAAACTATCTTGTAGAACTTGCTTTGTTTTATCAAATTCGCTGTTTTTGTGGTCGTTCTGTGGAGGTAGGATGCCATGCGACATTATTTTCCGGACAGTCTAATAGAATAAGGGCTTGTAGAGCTTGCTATTTTATTCTATGGTGCTCCTTTTACGTCTCCTGTTCTTTTTTCTTGTCTCGAAAGTATGTAAAGCGACACTTTTTCTTTCAAACCTGACTGTGTAATTCCTCTTTAGCATTTGCCTGAAAAACCACGAAAACATTACTGTTGTAAATGGAATCAGCTGAGTGATAAGAGCAGAAAAATACAGTACTTCACATAAACCTGTTATCGCAGATTTAAACTTGATTTCTAGCGTGATATTCAATTATTTATTTACTTATATACGTATGATATGTTCTAACTTGGAATTAAATACAAATATCAATCTTCTTTAGTGAGAATCGTCTCTGCCAATCAGAAGTAGTCATCGTTTTTGCCTTGGAAAAACCACAAGGGACGCAGTTATCGCAAAAATCTGCCATTGTTATTATTATTGTGCCAAAAGAAACATGCCTTATTGTATGAATAATTGTATAAGAAGTTACGAGCGTTATTTTTTTTTCTTGAAGCAAAGTAATGAACGTGTCGCAGGATTGAGACCCAAAGTTAAAAGCATATCTAAAGCCCAAACTGATCGTTGGCGATTCAGATCATCCCACACACCGTATAGTCATCGATATATTCACGCCATTGCATTTTCGTCTTATCCACTAATAAATGGGTCCGGAAGATTGTGCCATTTTGAACCTATCCATAGATTCCTAAGAATGCTACGGACACCACTTCAACAGCTATCAATGCAGGATTTCTTACTTTCTAATTATATGTACTCGAACAACTACAACAACCTCATACCTATTTTAACCCATCGTATTTAAATTTGTGCTCTGAATGGGCCCAGTTGTCATGGAAGGGACAGCAACCACAAACCTTCTTCCCTCTCAGAGCACTCTAATCTTTAGATTCTTGCAAGAATATCGAGTTTTTGTGCGCTCCGAAGACAACCACAGCAAAAATTCTTAAAAAGTTTACATACATTTGCTCTCGTTCCCAAAATGTTTCAATTTTAGTCTTATATAATTTGCTATCGAGGGGCTCCCGCTTTCAACTATCCTTCGCTGTTTTTCTGATAACATCATCAAGTATTAGTTGTTACTTATCAAGCACGAACCATAGCCTATAGTACAGAATCTGTACTGCAGAAGTGCCCTCAACGAATGACAAAAGTAAACTTCAGCTTCACTACAGCATGATTGCGCGAAGAAGAGAAAGGCGAAAGTTTACCATAAGTGTGTATAGTGCAAAAGGCAAGTAGAAAAAACCACAAGGAACATTTTCCATCGAATGCAAGAGCAATCGAGACATTTGCAGAAGCAACAATGTGTGGAATTGAAAATTTGCGCCGAAGAAATTGTCTTTTGCATGAAACTCTGCCTCAAGGACAGGAACCATATTATGTAGTTGGCTCGCTTCTGTCACAAAATAATTTTCGTCGACCTCTTTTTCACAATTTTCGTCGTATTGAGTGGAAAAATCCAGTATATAAAAATATTGGTGGAATATCTAGTTACCAGTGCGTCACCTCCGCTTCGCGGAGGTTCGCACTGGCTCCCTATCCGTATGCCTTTCTCATGTTCGCGTGAAAATGGTTTTGAAACTCACCACGCGATGCTGAGCATCACAAATGAATCGTAAACAACTGTTCATTCATGAAGCATCTCCATTTAAGATCGGTAATTTTGAGAAAAAAAACTTTGTTGCAAGCAAACAAATGCGAATTTGAACGGATTACTGAATTTATTTTAGTTTGATAATCGTCATAAGGATAATAGCCACCGTGGGCTACATTTCAGCGCAAAAATCGTTTCAGTTTTTTTCAAATAAAACCTTGTCAAATCGACTACCTACGCACTCATCACTTTTTGGCGCTGTTTTCTCAAAAAAGCAAACTTTTTGAGCACTCTTTGGGCTAGAATCCATGGGGCCCAGACTTACTTGTCAGGCAAATCATAGCTTTGCAAAAAGTCGAATCAGCGACCCAGTTTTGCGTGCCAAAAGGCGCGTGTACCCATTTGACGCGCAAATTTTGAGGGACCCGCTTATCGAACCGGCTCGCCCTTGTGCATGGTGGGCCTACACGCTGGCACGGTATGTTATGCAAAATTGCAGCCCAGTAGCTTAGTTGCAGCTTCCTCTATGAATTTCGTGACAGACAGATTTCCACACAGACACATACACAAAAAAACAGACAGGCTTAGCGCGTTATTATAGTAGGATAGAAACAAAGTGGAATAACTTCGTTCTAACTTGCATTTTGCTCCTATTGAGTATCTTTGAGCAAAGCTGAATGTAATTTTTATTCGATAAATACTTACCGAAGCTTAATTTCAATAAGAAGTCAGCAGGCGGTACAACTGGAGGAACTACAGGAGAGATCTGTCAAACAGGTGAAAGTCATTCTTCCACCTCTCACTAGATTGAGACTTCTCTTAACCAAACTTTCGCGACAAAATGAGGCAAATTTTTGTGGAGGTTAGAGCCATCGAGATAGCGGAAAAGTTTCTATGCTCCTTCTCTTAGACTTCTCATGTTAAGGGCTGCGGAACTGATCTGATCTTTGAAGTGGTAATGATACCATATGTGGTATACGTGCGCACTTTGTCTGCAACTCTCATGTCTTCTCTTGCACTTGTAAGCAAACAAATGAGGATTTTATTTTGGAATTAAGTGAAATCAAGAGCGATCGCTTTTGATCTGTAATACAGTCCTATTCGAAGTAATGGTTTCTCCTGGAAGTTTTCGCTGAGTAAGTAATGTGAAAAACGAGTGACGAAGCCTCCTGCAAAGGAATTAGTGGAGGAATTTGAGTCGAAAGCATATAGAAGGAGAATACTAACTGATTGAAAACGAGGTAGATAACAGGATTAATTCCATTCATAACAACCCATACTAAACAGGAGAAGAAATCAGTTACTGCTGATCTACCGAATATTGGCATCAAGTAAGTCCAATAGACGAACGAAAACAGAAAATACAGTATGACTAGCGATACCTAAATGCTTTTAATAATTGCCTATTTGCTTTCGAGCTCAGTTGGAGAATAACTTTTGAGGCGGTCATCTGAGCATCAACTTTGCCTCCATTGCATTCACTTTACAATCAAATGTAAGCTAACAGCCCGAAACAAGATAAAAATCAACTATTACAGTCCCTGAAAAATTTTCCCAGAAACTAATTTTTATACCTTTGTTTGGTCTACATTCATCCGCCAAAGTCATTTGGATTAATCAAAAGCAATCTTTAAAGGTAAAAGGTCAACATGCAAAAAACCAACTTTACCTGATAAGTAATTCGATATTCTCTAGCACTCATTTTTGCATTGCTCTGTAAAATTAAGTTTGTTCTCTAACAAAGCTAATTTCGAAAAACAACTTACAAAAAATGTGATATAACTAAATATTGCTACGTATGTTGCTATGGACAGAATCACTATGAGCAAAACGAGATAGTTTCCTGCAATAAACACGACTTTTGAAATTTTTGTGACCTCTGATTAACTGAACCTATGGTGATCATCACAACCGAGATTGAACTATCGGTTGGTAGGTAACTCCACGAAAAAGTGTCTGGTGTGAAAAAGTAGTTGCAATCTGGCATCAACTTGAGAATAAACGGTACAACAAAGCATGAATAACATACGGCAAATTGCGACTGTAAATAATAGGATATTGAGTCTCCCTGTGTCAATGATAAGCTTTGGATCACATCAAAAAATTGATCGTACTAGTTTAGCATATTGATTGAGTTAAGGAAAAAGGACAACGTAATTTGCAGAAATCCCTTAGTGTATATCTGTTGTGTTAATGTCTGATCAGTTGTTTTCTCCTATGATTTGCCCTCGCTGAGGCGCCTGCGACCTCAATGCGCGGGAAATGAGCGCTATAAAAGGCGCTCGCTGTTAGCTGTTGTCAGTTCGTCTGTTCACTCATCTGCCTCTCTTATCTTTAACTGTTCTATTATTTTCTAATAAATATTCTTTGTTCCTCGCGTGCTACCTCAGGACGAAGAGTCGACGACGTGTCCGACGCGGAGGACACAACAGTGGCGATCAGGACAGCGGCTACTAGCGAAGAAGTAGCCGTAACGAAGAAACACGCGCCAGGAAGAAGTCGACGAAGAAGCTGAGAAGAGCTTAACGAATTGATCGATCGACATGGCGAAAGTGGACGTCCAGGAGATGATGATGATCTTCAAGGAGATGATCAAAGAAGAGAGGAAGGAGATGATGGAGATGTTCCTGAAACACATCGGAGGCACGAATCAAGGCAGTTCGACGGAGATTCCGAACATGATGTCCGCACTAAGCAATCGGATCGAAAAATTCTACTTCGACCCCGAAGCGGACATGTGCTTCAGCAAATGGTACGCGCGCTACAAGGAAGTCTTCGTCGAAGATGCGAAGCAGCTGACAGAGAATGCCAGAGTGAGGCTTCTCTGCGAAAAGCTGGACAAGGACAGTTTCGAAAAGTACCAGAGGCACGTACTCCCGAAAGAGATAACCGCGATCAAATTCGAAGATACTGTTGAAACCTTGAAGCAGTTGTTCGACGTGAAGATTTCGGAATTCACTATGCGGTACCAGTGTTTGAAGCTGGAAAAGGTGGATTCCGAGGACTACCTCATGTATACGAGCCGAGTGAACGAACTATGCGAGAAAGCGAAGATCCACGACTTGGATAGCGATGGAATCAAATGTCTTCTTTGGATTTTTGGCTTGAAGAGCCAAAAGGAAGCCGAAATCAGGCAGCGACTCATAGCCATACTGGACAAGGCGTGTAAGGCCGGACGAAAAATGTCGCTGCAGGAGTTGTATCTGGAGTGCGAAAACTTCCTTAGTCTCAAGAAGGATAGTGAGATTGTGGCTGGTTGCACGAAGATTGTCGAAGCAACAAGCAAGGAAGAACCCAAGAAGCTGGAATGCTGGAACTGTGGTAAAGCTCACTTTGCCAGGGAATGCAAAGCGAAGCTATGGTTCTGCAAGAAGTGCAAAACGACAGGTCACAAGGAGAAGTATTGCGAACAAGTGGCGGGGACAAAAGCACTTGTTCAGCAAGATTCGAAACGAAGAATCCACAGAAGCAGCGACACCAGTAAGAATAGAAGTTGGACGAAACCGAAACGTCATGTGCACAGCGTAGCGAAGATTGCGAACGCGATGATGGAAGTGAATTCAACTCGCGTATATGGGGAAGCGAAAGTAAATAGCCATCCAGTTAATTTTCTGCTAGATACTGGATCAGACATCACACTGTTAAACGAATCAATTTGGAGAAGCATGGGTGCTCCTCGATTGGAAAACACCAGTGTGGTTGTCAAGAACGCTAGTGGAGGCTCCATGAAAGTCCATGGAAAGCTCTGGTGTAGGTATGAGATCAAAGGATCTAGGAGCGAAGGCTACGCATACGTGACACCTCACAATTCATTGCTAGGACTGGAGTGGATCCAGAAAAACGAAGAAATGTCCTATCACTTGAGCAGGATGGCTGCCGAAGTGAAATTGAAGCAGAACAATGACATCGCTCAGAAGCTGAAAGAAACCTTCCCAGAAGTCTGCAAAGAAGGTTTAGGACGCTGCACAAAGGAAAAAGCTCACATGAGAGTTGTCGAAAATGTTCGCCCAGTGTTCAAAGCTTGCAGGCCTGTCCCCCATGCCGCGCTCGAAGCTGTCGAAAAGGAGCTTGATAGGCTGTTGGAGCTAAACGTCACAAGTCCAGTGACACACAGTGAATGGGCAGCGCCCATCGTATGTGTCAGGAAAGCGAATGGAAAGTTGAGAGTGTGCGCTGATTTTTCAACTGGACTCAACAAAGCGCTGGAGTCGTATAATTACCCGTTGCCATTGCCAGAGGATATATTCGCATCCCTCAATGGAGGCGCGGTGTTTTCGCAGATAGATCTGTCGGACGCCTATCTGCAGATTGAGTTGTCAGACGAAGCGAAGAAAATGGTTGTAATAAATACGCATAGAGGGCTCTACCAGTACAACAGACTGCCTTTTGACATAAAGACGGCACCAGGGATCTTCCAGCAAATCATGAACAAGATGGTGAGCGTATTGCGAGGAGTAGCAACCTACCTGGACGACATCTTGGTCTGTGGACGAACAGAAGAAGAACACATGGAGAATCTGTTAGCTGTGTTTGCAAGAATCGACGAATATGGATTCAAAATTCGTCTAGAGAAGTGTTCTTTCGGTAAGCCAGAGATACGATATCTTGGCTTCATAGTGGATCGAAATGGCAGAAGACCGAACTTAGCGAAGATCGAAGCGATCAAGAGTATGGATGAGCCGAAGAATGTTAGTCAACTGAGGGCTTTTCTTGGCATGGTAACGTACTATGCGGCGTTCATGCCAAAGATCAAGGACCTTCGTGGACCTCTACATGCAATGCTGAAGAAGGATGCGAAGTGGGAATGGACACGAACACATCAAGAAGCATTCGAAAAGCTCAAGGAAACTTTGTCAAGTGAGCTGAACCTTGCTCACTATGATCCGAGGCAGAAGATCGTCGTGGCAGCGGACGCAAGCGACTATGGTATCGGTGTGATATCGCATAGATATGCGGATGGATCCGAAAAACCAATTGCACATGCATCGAGATCTTTAACGAAGGCAGAGAAGAATTATTCGCAGATCGAAAAAGAAGCGTTGGGAATTGTCTTCGCTGTCAAGAAATTCCACAAGTACATATTTGGGCGAAGGTTTCTACTGCTGACGGACCATCAACCACTGCTAGCCATCTTCGGTGATAAGAAAGGAGTTCCAGTCTACTCCGCTAACCGACTCATGAGATGGGCTACAATCTTGCTAGGTTATGACTTCGACATAGAATATGTCAGGACTACGAAGTTCGGACAAGCAGGTGGTTTGTCACGGTTGATGAAGAAGAATCAGAATCCCGAAGAAGACGTCGTAATAGCTGCCGTTGAGAACGACGTAGACTACATGTTGAAGAATTGTATTAGGAAACTACCAGTGACAGTATCAGATGTGCAATCCTACACGAAGAAGGACCCAGTGCTACAAAGAGTAATGACCTACTTAAAAAGGGCAGTGGCCAGACATGAAAGGAGAACTGGCACATTTTCGAAATCGAAGAGAAACATTGTCAATCGTGGAGCAATGTCTGATGTCAGCCGAAAGAGTTGTGATACCCAAGGAGCTTCGAGGAAATGTTCTGAAGGAACTGCACAGTGGTCATCCAGGAATTGTAAGGATGAAGAAACTGGCTCGAAGTTACGTCTACTGGCCGAACATTGACAAGGATTGCGAAGACTTGGTACGAAGATGCACGAAATGTCAGGAGTTAGCCAAAAATCCGACGAAGGTACCATTAGAAGCGTGGCCGTCCGCGACTCGAGTGTGGCAGAGAATACACATCGACTTTGCTGGACCTATGCAAGGAGTTCTCTACTTGGTCGTGGTAGATGCGTACAGCAAATGGCCTGAAATGATCGAGATGACCAATATCTCGGCTGCGAAGACGGTGAAGGCTTTGAAGAACTTGTTTGCGAGGTATGGATTACCGCAAACAATAGTGAGCGACAACGGTACCCAGTTCACATCGGACTTATTCAAGAAGATGTGCGACGAAGGTGGAATTACCCACATAAGGACTGCTCCATACCACCCTCAATCGAATGGACAGGCAGAGCGTTTCGTTGATACGCTGAAACGCGGAATCAAGAAACTAGAGGGGGAGGAGAGGCTAACAGAAGAGACTCTCAATGTGGTGTTACAAGCGTACAGGACAACACCAAACACGAACTTGAACGACAAGACGCCAGCAGAGTTGTTTCTAGGCAGAAACTTGCGCACAAAATCAAGTCTGTTACTCCCGATGACAGAAGATGCAGAAGACCCACTCGCACGAAGGAGACGGGAGCGCATGAAGGATCAGTTCGACCAGAAGCATGGAGTCGTTCGAAAGGAATTCAAAGCCGGTGACTTAGTGTACGTTAAGCAGTGGAAGCCACCCCACTTCCACTGGGTGAAAGGAACCGTGATGAGACGTATTGGACGTGTCAATTATGAAGTTATGGTTGGTGATGAGATATGCAAGAAGCATGCAAATCAGCTGCGACATCGAAGCAATAGTGAACAAGTCGCCGTGGGACAACAACTTCAACAACAATCCGAAGCTTTGAAGATACTGTTAGATGTTCTGACAGAAGACTACCCACTATCGAGGAATGGCAATGCTGCTGAAGGGAGTTCCGAGCAAGCGATCGCGAGCGATGTGCCGGCACCCGTGGATTCAACGACATCGACGTCGACATCAAGCCACGAGCCCTCCACGCCACCGACAACGCTTCGCAGGTCGAGCAGAACGAGAAGACCGGTACAACGGTTCCAACCTAGTTCATAGTATGTTATTGTATGTTTCATTAGTTTTGTAGTTGTTTGAATTTCTATGTATGTAGTTCAAGCTTTTATCGTAGGCTAGTTTTGTGTAACTACCCTACTGGGGGAGGTGTTGTGTTAATGTCTGATCAGTTGTTTTCTCCTATGATCTGCCCTCGCTGAGGCGCCTGCCACCTCAATGCGCGGGAAATGAGCGCTATAAAAGGCGCTCGCTGTTAGCTGTTGTCAGTTC